GCAATCAAATATGTGGTGCAAATTGCCCTTTTTTAAATGGAAGAGTTTAAAATAAGTTTGTGGCATTTCCTTACTTTTTCTCTTTAGAGATTTATGTAGCTTTTTTGAAGAATCTGGCTAGATGGGAAAATTATGCCTTGTTTCATAATAGGCCAATATAAGCCTTTTTTAAACGGTTCAAGTCTTCTGCTTATTTCTTTTCTTTCAAGATTATGGCGATTTTCAACAAATCTATTTGAATTACATCATTTGTGAGGAAAATAACCCAAATTTTTTGCATACAGTCCCCGAAAAAGTTTACTTTGCAGATAAGTTTTCTACTGTAATGTGAAAGGCGAACTTCTGCCACCAGACAATACGAAGCAATAAATTTGTCCAGGGGCAAGAGTTTCATTTTCAAAAGCCACAATAATCTCACACATTAAAATAAATCGCCGACCCATTAAAAGTTGGTAATTTGACGAATTCCCTCTTATTATCCTATTCTAGCGGCTTGGCCAACACCCGGATGGGCTTAGAAGAGAGGGGTTTTCAGATCTCTCAATTTATTCCATTTGAAAGTCATTATCTGCTATACAAATTATGCTTTTTTAAGAAAGCTTGCAATAGTCTCTTTTTGTTTGCTTTGTTTTAGTTATTTCAATTAGTCAATCAAGAAAGATAATGTCCTTCATATGCAATTTTGATGGCTTTCTTTGGCTGCGGTGCGAAAATTTAACGATACATTAAAAAGATTTCATTATTTAAAAAAACTTTCATTTTTATGTTAAAATGGTATCTTACGAGGAGTTAGTAGCTTCCAGAAGTTGGATTTTTCATTTTGCGGTCAACCCATGCTGTCTGCTCTACTTTCATTTGATGGAGGAGGGAGGATATGAGAGAATGGAGGGCGCAAAGCTAAACTACTTCAGAGGGTTGTAAAGGAGAAGGAAGAGGGGGAACAAGGTACCGTGTATTAGCTTAGGCGTAGCGATTATAACCACGTTCGCCTCCAAAGCGACACATGTGATTATCTGATTTCCTCATCTAGCTTTGTTGTCACAAATGTGTGAAATTATGATCTCGATTACAACAAATCTTGTGTAGCGAACAGACTGACTGTGTTTAACACATTGGAATAAATGTTTAATGTTGCGCAATGTGTGACTTGGGGGTAGAATCATGAAACACTAGGCCGTGATGGTTTACCGTCCTGAGAGTGAACGTGTCAAGTTAGAATGCCTTTTTCCAGTATAGTTCACAATGCTGGACCCTCTCTAAGGACAAAGGATTAGCACCTTACTTTGAAATGGGGAGGAGCTTATGATGTTTGATTGTTCAAATAAGACACAAAACTACGTGACCACCGGTGGTGTATGTCAGCTAGATAAACTGCTATTTAATGCGAATAAATCTTTCATTATTTTTTTTAAAATCAAGAATTGTATGCACTAAAGGACAGGAATCGATGTTTACCGATCGCCAAAGTTAATACATCCTCCAAACTCCGATTTTTATTGGTTTTAGGGATCCTGTCACGGGGATGGCAAAAGTATTCTCGTTTAAAAATAGTTTGCAATTTCTCCTTCATCAGATTATTCGCTAGAGTATGCTGTGACGAGCCCTATCTTAAAAACTAGTTAACAAGTCATGCTGTGCCTATCATCCTTCGACCTTCTGATGAAAAATGGAGCATATTTAGCATGAATGCTGCAAACTGCCTAGGCGTGCTTTTGTAACTCCATTGTGTAGTAAACAAGGCAATTCTGTCATCACTGCTTTTTTCGCGCTCTTCTTGTCTTGTGCTTGCATTCCTATCATGTCATTTTCACCTTCAGTTTTTCCGACGGCAGGGGTGGGGGTGTTGTGAGTTGACAATGCTCCTACCTAATCTACAATCTACATCTCAATCAATATCTTAAGTAGTCCTATTAATAATTACTCGGACAATAAATTTAATTTGACTGCATAACAGTAGCTACCTCACCCATGGTAATCATAATCCATACTTCTAGGATCACAAAACTCACGATTGAACCGAATTGTCTTTCAGTCACCTATCTGGGATGAATGGAAAAGTTATCAGGGTAAACGTATGTACCTGTTTTGTTTGTTTTTGTTACCTCAAATGGATTAAACAAGTAAGTCACGTACACTGCAGGGAAGTGTAACTTTGTGCTGACAAGGTGGGCCTAATGTTAAATCTATTTTCCCATCAGGATACATGGAACCGATGCAAAATTGAAGACTGAAAAGTGAGACAATCTTGGCAATCCGTAAACCTCTATTCCTGCCATTTAATGCATACAATTCTTGATTTTGAAAAAAACATAATGAAAGATTTATTCGTATCAAATGGCAGTTTATCTAGCTGACATGCACAACCACTGGTCACGTCGTTGCGTGTCCTATTTGAACAATCAAACACCATAAGCTCCTCCCCATTTCAAAGTAAGATGCTAATCCTTTGTCCTTAGAGAGGGTCCAGCATTGTGAACTATACTGGAAAAAGGCATTCTAACTTGACACGTTCACTATTAGGACTCATCGAGGAAGGAGATGGGGTGACTCCAGGTTGAAAATTTGCACGTATTGGACGGCTTTGGGCTTGGGATTTTCAGCGTTTATTCAAAAAATGGGGAAAATGATCTTGCAACATCAACACAGTACCCCACTTTCTAAAATAGACGCTAAAACATAAGAAGGAGTGATAATTGTTTGGTAACTCGTTGATGACAAATGCCGCCTCTAGGGGAGAAGTGATCCTAGAAATCAAGGAGTTTTATTTCGACGATTCTTGAAATTGAATTGATTAAATTCATTGGGAAAACATGAGGTGGTGGAGCATTAGCAACATTTCAGTTCAAATTCAGACTTTTCTAGGCGTCCCCTATTCATTCCCGACTCGCCAAACTATTCATTGCTTTAAATCGGATTCACCAACCCTCTCCTTTAGATTCATTCCATTTAAGTCAAACTTGTCTCCAAATGCATTAGTGGATTATCCGTAGCACTATTTATATCTAGAATACTCATTTCATCCATTCGAAAATCACCCAAATTCTATTCTTACCCTTTCATCGAATCACTTAGCTATCCGTCGGATCTATTCCGCATCTACCCATCCATACACTTATTCAGCCATCTATCCCGTACCTATCCACTTGTCCATCTACCCATCCAAAAATACTGGTAAGCTTAAAGTGGGATTCAATCTACTTAACACAATTTCATTATGAATATATGCAGGGTGTGTTTATGTTCTTCAACGACATTCATAGTGCAATCTTGGATGATTCCTAAGTGGCAACTAAATAGTTTGAAGAATTTTTTCAAATTGTGTGTTATCAAACCAAACCTCTACAGTAAAAAAAGGAATTTTCAATATTTCCTTGTTCGGCCTAACCAAGGCAAATTTACACAATCGCTTCGCAGGTAACAGAGGCCATATCTTGTTCATTTCATTTCAGGCGAGCTTGTAAAGCCATTTCCCCTTCCTCAACTTGTTCACTCCCCTCTAAATTCCCATGGAACGGATAGTGGAGATAGGGTCCACTCCTGGCACTTTCAAGACAATCAAATCACTGCATCAACTCGTCATCAGGTGTTTTTCTGATAAAACTACTTGTCCAGATCTTCACCTCCTTTTAAGCTATCATTGACAAAAGAAGGAGGACTTTGGATAATATGCCACCCATTCAGGACAGTCCACCAAAGCCTACCTTGGCCCAACCTTGATACTTCTAACATGCATCTACGATACAGTTAAAATGGTAAATGCTTCTGGACACCTCATTTAGTCGTCCACTGATTCCTCTGCACAAATTCAAGTGGACAATCCCTGTGACCATGTTTACGGAGTACAGTGAACATCGACAATAACCACACACTAACTACTCAGTCACTGGATTTCGGACCCAGCAGCAAGACTTCATGTTTCAACATTACACAATTCACGTGTCTGATGCTCTTTCCAATAGGAAAAAAAACATAATATCAACAAACACACAAACAGAATGGATGAGCAGACAAACAGGTAGGTAAGAAGACAGACAGACAAACAGACTGACAAGACTGGAAGTCACTGTCTACTCTGTTTTGGTTTCGCATTCGGTTTGACTTCGGTTTCTGTCTATTCAATGGCTTAACCAACGTAAACTACTCAATCCTTCCCACCAATCAATGCAATGCCACACTTTAGCCATTGAATTTCAACCATGGCGGAGTCATTTAAAGCATTTCTTGATAGGTAGGCAAGCCTAATCCAGCTCAGTTGACTTGTAATATTATGGTAAGTCGTTTTGTAGGGCTCCAGCATACTGCCAATTTAGAGTGACAATCATCCCTCAAGTCGTGTCCCCCGCCACAGTGTCAAGAGAATTTACCAATTCCGATGAGACACTTTTGGCTTCACTTCATGGAAAATGGTGTCCCATGGATGTGACATTTCCATTGCAGTGTAACTGTACTAGTAGTGTGTCATTAAGGTCTCGTCACCTGGCACCTTTCATTCTTCAGGGCATCATTCTAACTTAAAACCTTCAGTCAGAAATCAAATATTTGAGTCTAATTTAGGATGTGCAAAATTAGTGGCAGTTGATAAGTGAAATCGTTCTGGCAATTGGATCCGTTTGTGAAATCATGTTCCCATCAACATAGGGCTCTTTTATTGTGGCGGTCATAATCAAGGGGGCCCCAAGAGCACTATCACTCACTTATTTCTTCGTTAAAGAGGAGAATGATGCAGATCAATACCTTTTCTTAATGTGCGAGTTCGACATCTCGCTCTTTGTAAGAATCAACCCATTACCCTAACTTTTTCGTGGTCTGCGTCAATCACGGATACCGGTTTTCGTCCTTTGGCTTCCCATACTTTGACTGATCAGGACACAATCCCGAGATAGGATCTTGGCCCTGCTCAATGACTATCGTGGCACTATTTTTTTCTTACGGAGCTACACGTAAGGCATTGTTAAGCAGGCCAAAATTTTGACGATTTCCCCACCGTTTCATCACCTTATTTGTGAGCTAAATAGCGGACAGAAGTCTTCGTACTTTCACAACTTTTCCCTAGCAAATACCAATGCTATTTCTACTTGTCACTACCTTCAGTTCAGCGTGAAATCGTAGTGTAGGCGTGACTGAGAAAAAGGGAGACTTCATCATGTGATTGGACGTCACGTGACGTGCAGTTGTGTTGCGAGGTGGATTTGTGGTGTGATCGCTCTCTCACACACACACAAGCTTAGCATCAATGTGTGTGCACGTTCATCCCTCCATTCCAATTCCTGTTCTGCTTTTTACTCAGGTAGATTCACCTTTGGTTACTTGACCATAAACGTTGACATATTTGTTCTTTTTACGCACAAATTTTACCTCATTTTCTCGGTCTCTTTTAACCAGTCACTACCTTAAAATTTTTAATGTGTTCCTTGGTAGAAAGAGAAATGGAATGTTCTGTAGGCCGGCTAGTGGAGCGTACGTTTTATCACTTCCCCAAGTAGATATTCCTGTGTGTGAGGAGGTGAAGGCCTGAGCACAGTCCGATTGACCCAGTTTAGGTTATCACTGCCCCGTTGATGTGTGGTAATTTTCAGCGCGATTACTAGCAATAGCAGCTTATTGCATTAGGAAATAAAATTTTACAATTTTGTAGCAATTTGCCTTTGTTGGGCTGGAAATACACTCCCTGCAATACAAAATGTCAACCTTTGTATTCGCATACATTTGACTTTTCACCTATTTACCATGGATTTGTGTAAAGAGTTGGTTAGAATGCTGCCACAGGCGTCGAGTTTTAGTGTGTCTGTATGATGTTTTGCATTCAGAGGCGTCTTCAAATGATTTCTGGCCTTACCTCCTTCTTGGATATTCGTTTTAAAGTAGTAACAACTTGGCTGAAAAGCGGTTACAGTGGATCATTTTGAATTGGTTACCCTCCTAGATAATCTCTAAACCTGTCAAGATTGTAAACTTGCGTTTATCATTGATTTTCTTCCAGTTGAAACATATGACTGACAACTGAACGGTGCGCGTCGTGGTGACACCAACTGCCACCCAGGCTTCCACACATTCCCTTTACAAATCAATCAGTGCTTCAACTTACATCACTAAAAAATGTAAGTCCCTTTCTTATTCAAAAGTAATAACATCAACTGCTAAGATAGATCTTTTTCACAACAGTGTACGACATTAGATTTTTCTGAAACATTTCGTCTTGACAAGAGTCCTCCGTGCTTCTAACTACGATGGGCAGATCGTCCACCAGTGTTCCATGGCGCCTTTTATTCAAAACAAGTAAATCCTGGCAGAATTGCACATATGGTTTACCCCATTTATAAACTACTTTGTTAGCTCGA